CATCTCTCCGAAGTCTTTCGATCACTCTGCATCGTATATTATTTCATTTTAAGACTCATTTTCGCATTTTAAGACTCATTTTCGCAATTATTTTCAATATGCAGTGACTTAACTCCAAATGTAGCCAGATCTGGATTTCTGCAATCCTATGCGTGTACACAAGTTAAAAGATCAGGTAAGAAATGGAAAGTAGTAATTGAATCTCCGCGTTGAAGAGAGTGATGCCAATGTTGTAGTCACTACTTACAGAGGAAATATGCAGTTGCCGATTGAGGCCGCTTGATAGGTTTGAGCCGACAGTGATACGCCTTTGAACAGCTAGTTGCCAGGTGGCAACAAACAACGTGAGCCCATCGACCTCCGAATGCACTGACTTGCGTCGCGCCATTTGATAGAACTAATTTGACATTTTCGTCCGCCCTGTACTCAACGAAAGAGTGTCCATTTGTGCTTCTATTGATCCTCAAGATCATCTAAAAATCCCAGTTCTGTTAAAACCCTTTCAACTAAACTTTCAAAATCAGAATCGACTGCATTTCTGCATCACTGAGCCCGATTATTTACGGCCAGATCTAATAATAAGTGTATCAAGAGCGCTTAAAATCCCCTATGTTATCAAGTATTCAACATAGGCCCTTTTTTCTTGACCTGCATCAGTTCTATTTACTAATTTTACCGCTTCTCGAAGGTCACCTAAAGGATCGTTTTCTTCATCGCAAGTACCATTTTCACTGATATGCTATGCGCATAGGCTTCCAGCAAAATACGCCACATATCCTGCACAACCCGTTTAACCACAAGAGTCCTGCGCCCTAGTCGTTTGGCTAAGCACTGTGTAGCATTTGTACTTATTGCTTGAGACAAGGCACTACTAAAGGAGCAGTTGTTGGCTTGGCATTCTGAAAATATCCGCAATGCTAGAAATTTTGCAGCAGTCGATAACTTTTCGATGTGTTGCCCTGGTCCAAGATTGTGTCGGTATCACTTCCTAGTCCAAACAGGTCCACTTAACAGTTTTGATGCAAAATCCGTAACGAGGTGTAAAAAAAACATCTGATAGACATTCCATAGATCACGCTGGTACAAAACTAAAACACCAAAAATTACATGAGTCCCTTCGCATTTTGTTTGCAGCACTGTCTGTGGAAGCTCAAAAAGAGAAAGCACATTGTATGAGGCAGAAAGATTCTCAGCCTGGCCGTGCGGTTGGAAATCCAGCCGAGAGCTGCCAAACCAAATTTTGCCAAATAAAAACTTTTCTCGAAATTCAGTTCGCGATCGACAACCACCCACTCAGCTATTGAAATATTCGAATTGAATGAATGCACCTACAAATCTGCACTATTTCG